TCCCGTAAATGTACTATATCAAAATGATGCTGTTCTTACCGTCTGCTGGGGAGTCTTATAAATTTTCAAACCCTTAATAATTGATTAAGTGGCAATGATTGTAGGTTCTGCATTCTGTATGTCTTACTCTAGGACTTGTATATCATAATTCTTCCTACCCTCCAATAAGGACCTTTGGCAATTACCGCGTGAAACTGACCGACTATAGGTAAATTAACGATTAAAACTTAGACTTAAACCAGTATCTTATATTACAAACTACTTATAAATTTTCTAGAATTTTTTCTATTTTTATGTCATGAAACAGTGTTAAATCTGGATTCGCACTTGTCAAATATAGTCATGCCTGTACAAACGGCATGTCAATAGTGCAAATGCTTAATCCGTGTGAATAAAATATTCTTATTCTTATTACCCACAAAGCTGGTTACAAAATAAGAAACCATATTAGTAAGAGAAGTCAATTTGTCTGTCATGGCACTCATACTGCAAAAGGCTTCGCAGTCGTCCACGTGACCTAGATCGTTACATATTTTGTCTTTATGTATAAAATTCATGCTGTTTAGGTTAAAAGAGAACTAACTTCTGATCTCAAATGTAGTCACAGGACAAAGCTGACCACTGTGAAAATCATTTTAGAAGTTCAGTTAGGCCCCACATCTACTGTCTTTAAATTCCAAGGCAAAATATGTAGACAAACAGAAGGTATAGCAATGGGATCACCAATATCCCATATCGTAGCAGATATCCTTATGGGCAGCTAGATAAATATTACTCTCAATACATTTAATCCTACTCCAAAATATGGTAGAGATATGTGGATAACACTTTTACAGTGTTAAAAGCAGAACATATCTCTAGCTTCTTGACACATATAAGCTAACTAGTAAGGGGAAAATAATTCATGTCAGAATCGATAATGAGCAAGGAGAATTAGCCAAGTTAGATTGTAAAATAAAATGAATAGAATAAGGTAGACTACACACTAGCGTTTATAAAAGGTCAACGCACTCTAATACGTATTTAGACTTTAATTCATCTAGTCTGTTAACTGTAAGGGCTGGCTTGGTTTACTGTCTAACAAACCGAGCAATAGCACTAAGTAGAACAAAAAAGACCTAAACGATTAAGTGAAACACATAGAAGAGGCGTTGGTTTCAAATAACTATCCTATAAAATTCACTAGGAAGACACAGAAGGGTCTAAAGCAAAATAGTGGCGAAACTAATAATGATAACATAAATAAGAATGAATACAAGGCATTTACTGCTATAACATATAAGGAGGGGACATCCGAGACCCTAAGTCGGGTTCTTAATAAAGCAGGAACTAGGGTGGCATTCAAATCTGCAAACTCACTCAGAGACAAGCTCTGTAGGCTAAAGGACTCGGTAGACCCAATTAAACAAAATAATTAAATTAACAAAATACCTTGCTATGACTGTGAGGTCAAATACATAGGCCAAACTAATAGACCGGGTTGGTCAGATTGTCGGAACATAAGAATTTAGCTAAGGTGAGAGTGATTGGCTCGTACCCCATAACAGGGTGGGGCAGAGTCAAAATTCTAAATAGTGACATAGATAGATGGAGGGAGAGAGATTGATTACTGAATCCTGGTTCATTGAGTCTACACTCAACACATGCAATAGAAGTGACTTAACGCACATACCAGAGATATGGAAGATATTATTTATTACCAGTCAAATCAGAGAAGGATAAATAATGTTACGATGCATTCAATTCCCATAGTAACATTCTAGCAAGTTATTTATTTTACTACAAATCATCCTATTTCCCATCTTATTGACTAAGAACACTCGCTTTATTTCCCACCCTATTTTACTTTATTGATAACAATGATATTATTTCCGAATGCACTTCATCTTCCCTTCTTTGTCATGCAAGTCTTATATTGATTTTATTCAAATGACAAATCAATTTTTTCTCATGTATCATGAATCAAGAAAGCTGTGTGAGTACTTTGATATGATTATGAGCAATAAGTTGTGGTCGAAACGTGATCACCAGTAAATATTACCGCATAACACTGCGATTTTATCAAAACAAAATTTTACCCACAATGGAATTATACTCCACCACAACACTGAAGTTTTATCCTAATATCAATAAGTAAAACTTTTGCCTGGTTGCTGTTTTATATTATTTTACAACCACTCCACCAATGTCGTCTAAAAATCAAGCACAATTTACCGGATTATATGGTTTAGAAGCTTATAGAAAAGTACCAATTTTGGTCGCAGTTGTCTTAATCATAGTGTTTCAAGTCATAGGATTTCACATCTCGTGGAGTAGTTTGTGCCGTTTTCAGATGTGAATACTTTTAACGTAAAGTACCCCTGTTCTCCTTCTACTTTAAGTTTGCCATCTAAGCGTATACTACTGAATATGAATGAGCAGTAATCTAGGAGTGGGCGTACACAAACCTTGTACAATGGCATTTATTTTCATTCGTGTGGATGCTTATCCACTTGGAATCTGGGAGTTTGTAAAAGTATTGGAGTCAGTGGATTTAGAATAACACATTAGACATCCGTCTCCTTTTTTGTCCACTCTATCATTCCTGTGGATGTCACAGATATTAATTATCAGCTTTGTGTCAGGTATATCATTAGTTGGCCAGGTTTCAGTTACCCGGATTAGTGTTGACCGTTTCATGTAAACCAGTCTGCAAAGGGAATTTATTTTGTTAAGGAGAGATCGAGCATTTAAGAGTATAATTTTCAGGAAATCAGGGTTGTAGGGGGATGCCTATGTCATTTTCGGAGGGATGCTCAGGCGAGACAGTGTCAGCGTGTCTACTATTCCCTGAAGAAACTGTGCTGCGAGAGCGGCTATTGTTCGCTGCAGCCGAAAATAATGCTTTGCATATAATGGTGTATGGGATCATTATGTTGGTATCTGGAATCATTTCCCGGCATTAGAAAGTGTGTTTCACTGTCCAGGTTGCAATTTACGGGGTCTGAGTACGCTGTTTTCAGATTGTCTTGAGCGAAGTGCGTGCTAGGTATTTTGTAGTCGCACATTTGTTGACTCATTTCGTGCGTGTACGCAGAAGGACCTTGAGCCAATCTTTACCCGTTTTACTGATTGGGCCTTACATAACTACTACTAGGGTTCGGGAATAAATTTTTGTCCTTATGATACCAGGTGTTGTCCCGTCTAGTCGCCCATACGTTTCTATTATTCACTCTGGATTCCGTTCTCAAGTTGTAAATGCCCATAGGCACATTAGAATCTCGGCTATTACGGCAGTCGTAGTTAAGTCTATCTTCTCACCCCTTAACTCTTTGTTATAAATTTGCTGAGATTTTGTAAATTCCGGTTTAATAATACTTTGATAAAGCTATTAGCATTAAATAGCGAAACATCAGTAAAAACAACATCGTTTTGTTTTCCATTCATTGGGAAATACAAAAACCTTTATTATCACGAAAACTAATATGGCATTAACCTTTTCACCAAACAGCTATGGTTAATCAAATGAAAAAGGAACCAACTCAGTCACCTGTTATTCTGGTCACTGAGGGCACATTTCTGCTTGCCTCACCAAGTGACGCACCTATTGCCACTTGTCACAGTGAATTGTAGAGCTCACTACTACTCCACAAGCCTTGAACTGCCTTGCTACTACCATGTAACGTGGTTGGAATTTAAAGTAAAAACTTTTTAGCAAGTAACAGTAGCATCGCTCTTACAGATTCGGTACCTAACTCTGACATATAAACTTTTACTACCCCTCACTTAAGCATCCCCAAAATTTACACATCAAGTCCAGTTTTAAAGCTTACTTCAGAATTAGAGCGATTAAAGCCGTCTGTGGAAGAGCTGAGGGCTAAGATAGGGGAAGTAAAGTGTGGTAACTCCATGTTAATTTGTCTATTGTATATATCACACAGAGAAAATGTAACAAATAAATAAATAAATAAATAATAGTATATTCTCATTTTGTACATGAGGGACGCCAGTTTACAGGCATCATCAATATGATAAATTACATATACGATTAGTAAACATATTTAATAATAGTAATTTAATAAAATACATTTTTTCCTACCTGTGTAGGACACACCAATTGTACAGGCATGGATAAGTATTATTTAAATTACATAAATTTGGTTCATGGTAAAATTATAAGGTTGCAGTCATTTTGTCTATGGGAACAATATGATAACTAGTCATTCAATGGAGCACATCAAGAAATATAGAAATATTGTCTTCGCATTAACAAAAAAACCCAAGTATGTTTTGGATGGATTACAAATACTTGGGAAAAAAATAAAGCTTGAAGTAATTCCTCCATATAACTTTGGTGTGTACGGCATCGAGTCTTATTCTTGATAATAATTTAAAATAAGTAATCCACTTGTATACTTTTGTCAGCATTTTCTTCGTAACATCACAAGTGAATAGTACTCAAGGTAGACTAATAATAATGGTAGTTTATATTTTCTTATAAACGGGTGTTTTCAAGAAATGCAAGCTATTTTGCAGACAAGATCAGTTATGTTATAAGTTACATTCGTGAAGTATTATAAATCAATACTTTTTTATTGGTATAAAGATATATTTCACAACTGTAATCCAGGTTGCGTCGTTGGTGAAGGCAATGCGCAATTCACGAGGGAATTGTAAGTTATGGGACCAATAATGTTTGCAGATCATTTGTCATTGTAAATGGGCAAATATCTACATTCTTCGTTCTCATTCAAAAAGTTAAATGGAAGCTGAAATGGTGAGAGACAAAAGAAGACAAACAACAACAACGCAAAAGAAAGCAAGTGGAGTACTTAGGGGGTGATTAATGTGTATATATACATATATATTCTGTTTAGTAATTATAGTTATTTTGGTGCACTAACTAACTATTCCCGTGATGCTAACTTTTATATTGTGTGAGCTAATATTATTGTCCTGTGTAAAAATGTCTATCATGTACTTCCAATAATATAAAAATTTATAATTGTAGTTTGTTGTAACTACACGTTTAATGAACTTAAAATATCTATGTTGGACGAAAAAGTGGATGTAGGATTCAGACTCAGAAGTGCACTGTCATCTTTGAGCAGTCTGGTGACTGAGGAGATGAACACTGCGAGTGTGTTTGCATCGCGCACATCAGCTGGTAGTCTATTCCAAATGACTGAAAACTTATTTAAGAAGAAATTATACCGCATGTGAGTCTGACAATGCTCTATAGCAGCTAGGTTGTGATGATTTCTAAGATTGTAACTGATGACAGCGGTAGGTTTAATTATTGGCTCGGAGGAGTGCACGAGCAGATTAGTTAGCTTGTAGTAAAAAATCAGGTTTAGCTTAAGACGTCTTTTCCAGAGTGGTTCTAAACTTAGTCTGTCGCAACGTTCATAGTATTGGAGACCACTTTCTAAACCAAGAATTCTTAAGGTGAATTGCCGTTGCACTCCTTCTAACTTAAGCTTGTCATTTTGTCTGAGTCCGCTAAGAATAAACGGGCAGTATTCTAAAATAGGTCGGACACATACTTTATATAATAAAACCCTAGTTTCACAACAAAAGAAATTGCGAGTTATGCATCCTAGGAGCCTTCGTGTTTTACGTCTGGCATAATCAGTTTGTTCAGAGAACGTTAAGTTACTAGAGTATCTGATACCGAGATCTACGACTGAGTTGAGCTTGGCTAGTTTACGCCCATTTATTTCAAGATTCAGGTCAAGGTTACTGTTTCCGATACAAATCCAGCCGCATTTATCAATGTTGAACTTAAGACAGGATTCAGTACACCATGTTGCGAGACTACTTAGTTCAAGATGTATTTTATTCACCATATCGCTTAGTTCATGAGCGTGGCAGGAGTAAACGACTTTGAGGTCGTCAGCATATAGGAATGATTTACCTAAGGTGAAGCAGTTGCAAATGCTGTTAATGTATACTGTAAATAAAAGTGGACCTAGGACACTACCTTGCACAACCCCACTTGTGATCTGTCTGGGATGAGACAACACAGATCCAACCTTGGTTATTTGTACCCTATTGCTTAGAAAGGATTTTAACCAGCTCAGTAATGGATTGCGAATCCCACATGAATACAGCTTCTCAAAGAGAATACTGTGAGATACCATGTCAAATGCCCTAGATATGTCGAAGTAGAGAACAACAACTAGCTTACGTGCTTCGCGACTACTAGTGACGCAGTTGAAAAAGTCGAAGTGGCAAGTAACGCAAGACCTATTTTTGAGAAATCCGTGTTGAGACCTTGTAACAAGATCTTCCTTAAGTAGATAGTCTGACAACTGATCTTTGACAACTTTCTCCATGACTCGCGAGACAACTGGGGTTATATTTATAGGTCTGTAATTGCGGACGTTTGCCTTATCACCGGATTTATAGTGTGGAATTATGAAGCTAGTTTTCCACTCATTAGGGTAAGTGCCAGTGTCCATAGATATCGAGAAGAATTTAAGAAGTAGTAGGGGTATATCACACCCACTGTTTTTGAAAATTATAGAAGCAAGGCCATCTGGTCCCGTGCTAGTGGAAGGTTTCAGGCTTTTAACTGCTTGTTCTATTAATTGGTCGGTGAACACTATGCTTCCGAGGAAAGAGCTAGTAAGGGGGCCGGTGTCACCAGGAATGCGCGTTTCTAAACTGAAGTTTGCAAACCATTCACTGAATATTTCACAGATGGTGGCAGGCACATTGTAGATAACTTTGTCATGAAGTAAATAGGGGATGTCCCTAGTCGACTGCATTCGTTTTTTAAGAAGTGTTGTTAAGTTATAAACTTTGGAGGTGCTTTCAAGTGCCCTTAATTCTTCGTCGAGGTCCTTTTGAGAGCGTTGGCGCTTGACAGATTCAAGAGACTCATGGATTGAGTGCAGTAGTGATATATCCTTAGTTGAATAGTACTGTTTCTTCAACTTCCTCAACTTATTGCGGCATGCCCTCGGAATGTAATCAGCTTGGTGTCTACTTAATTTCACTACCTTCTTAGGAGCAACAGTATCTAGACAAAGGATAACATTCCTGTAAAATAGGGACACTACAGTCTCCAGGGAGTCAGTGGTAAAATATTCATCCCAGTGACAGAGTCGAATGAGTTCTTGGACTAATCCCCAGTCTGTATGTTTGTAACTACGACAAATCAAGCTCCCTGAATCCTGTTTGTTTCCTGTATTTAGTGGTGAGAAAGGCAGAGAGCAGAGCACCATTCTATGGTCACTACTGGAAAATCTGTTACCAACATAGGTGGAGACTGGGATTGTGTCATGACAAAACACAAGGTCCAACATGTTGTCACCACGAGTAGGTGTCTGGACGTGTTGCTGCCATCCATAACAATCGATAGTGGCAAGTAATTCGTCGAAGCGTTGGGGGCCGGAACTACTTAACCAATTGACTTCTGGAAGATTGAAGTCCCCTGCAATTATTTTGTAATTAGTACTAAACGATGAGGCGTGTGCGAATGATTTAGCTAATAACGCATCAGTTTCTTTGGTTGAGCTTGGTGCTCGATAAACACAGCCTATGAGAAGCTTGTACTTATCTCCTTGTAAGACGACCCAGAGTGAATCAGGTACATCGTTCAGTATTTCATCTTCCACCTTACTGGCTACGAATGAGTTATGTATATATATGAGACATCCTCCACCACGCTTGCTGTCTCTATTTGCACGGTGTACAGTGTAATCATCTATGCCTATATGCACATCAAGTACAGAATATGAGCACCATGATTCAGTAATCAAAGCTACAGTAGGCTTGGCGATAAATAATAATGCCCTTAGTTCAGATATCTTATTGATTAAGGAACGCGCATTAATTAGCAATATCGTGAATAAGTCACGGGATACTACAAACTGGCTTAAGATATCACCATAACCTAACTCTGTTTGTGCGTCAACAACGCAAGAGTTTATGAATGATACGGGGGTTGGACTGGGTGTCTGTGCATCGGGGTTAGAGTGCAGTGAGGTGGTCCTAGGTGCCATGGGTCGTACCAGTGATTCGGGACACGTGGAAAATTTACCATTTGTTCCTGGATATAAGGATAGTAGATGTTGGGCCTGGGTTGACGGTTAAAAAGCATAGCATCAAATGGTCTACCCATCCACGTGCTATCCATCATACCGGTACACACCTTCGTGTTGGTTTTATAACTTAAAGGAAATTGAAAGGGAAGGTGCTTTGGTTGTAAGACTTTGGGGGTTTTGGGGCCTGACTTTCTATAAGGTGGAGCATACTGAAAACCACCAGATATACTTGTGTTTCGAGAGGAACTTTTCGTAAGAGGTGAGGGTTTTTTGACAGTCTTACTCTCAGCAAGCTTATTGAATACAAAGTATTCTTCCCCATCATTAGTCTCAACCCGGCGAAATTTGTTCATTGTGGTGAGGTCACCACGTTTGGGTAAGAATTTCTTAGAACAGCTTGCAGCAGTTCTACCTATTTTAACATCTTTCGGTGAGACGTTATTTACAGGGGTACTGGTATCTAAATCAGTCCCTAGTTCCATTGCCATGCGTGGTTGTTGTGTGGTTTGCTGAATGCTAATGTCAGCATTAGGTGACTGTTGCTGTGCACGATCGTTTTTGGGTAATTCTAAGCTAGAGGAGGTGACCAGGTTATTACTCCGCATCATTCTGCGCTGACACGGTGTTTTATCTTGAGCTATGGTTATAGACTTATAACTACTGTTCAGTCTTAGGTGATCCTGGCATTTAATAAACTTACTAGAATCAAGGGAATTACTGAACTTAAAAATAATGGGACAGTTAGCCTGGTTAGACTTTTTACGAAGTCTTTTGCATTCACATGGAACACTGGCCATGCCGCAACAAATCAGGATTTTGTGTTTAACAGTCTTCAGAGGAAGAGAATCTGGGACATTGTAAACTATAGCCTGGTGAGAAGAGGTTATACGCTTCATCACCTCCGCAGCCAAGCAGTCAATCATATTTTCAGCCTTATTTAGGGTGTCTGGAGACATTTTAGGATGCTTTCTTAACAGACAGGCTATTGGGTCTAAATCCGAAAGCTTGCTTTGAGTTACATCCAGCAAAGACTTAACCTGGCCAATATCAGAACTGCTCTCCGTGATATTTGACAATGGCAGTGACATTCTATCAAACTGACCTAATTTTTTCTGAAGTTCATTTACTTGCCTTTGGATATCTTTCACAAGGAGGTCTAATTTACAGATCTCAGAGTTCTCTAACAGAACATCTTTCATCTGTATCACAGGAGTGAGAATTGCACTCAAGCCATTTTGTGAGCTAGTAGTTAATGCTGTATTACAGGGTGGTAATGCAGTTATAACCGAGGTTGAGGCACTATCTAAAACAACTGTGTTTCTACGAACACGTTTTTTAGAAATTTGGACCATAATTACAGGGATTATATGACTATAAGCAGTAAATGAATATCAGAGCAAACACGTGCAAAAATGTCACCAATTTCGAACGTACCGCCAGAAGAGATGTTTCAAGTCCTAGGATTTCACATCTCGTGGAGTAGTTTGTGCCGTTTTCAGATGTGAATACTTTTAACGTAAAGTACCCCTGTTCTCCTTCTACTTTAAGTTTGCCATCTAAGCGTATACTACTGAATATGAATGAGCAGTAATCTAGGAGTGGGCGTACACAAACCTTGTACAATGGCATTTATTTTCATTCGTGTGGATGCTTATCCACTTGGAATCTGGGAGTTTGTAAAAGTATTGGAGTCAGTGGATTTAGAATAACACATTAGACATCCGTCTCCTTTTTTGTCCACTCTATCATTCCTGTGGATGTCACAGATATTAATTATCAGCTTTGTGTCAGGTATATCATTAGTTGGCCAGGTTTCAGTTACCCGGATTAGTGTTGACCGTTTCATGTAAACCAGTCTGCAAAGGGAATTTATTTTGTTAAGGAGAGATCGAGCATTTAAGAGTATAATTTTCAGGAAATCAGGGTTGTAGGGGGATGCCTATGTCATTTTCGGAGGGATGCTCAGGCGAGACAGTGTCAGCGTGTCTACTATTCCCTGAAGAAACTGTGCTGCGAGAGCGGCTATTGTTCGCTGCAGCCGAAAATAATGCTTTGCATATAATGGTGTATGGGATCATTATGTTGGTATCTGGAATCATTTCCCGGCATTAGAAAGTGTGTTTCACTGTCCAGGTTGCAATTTACGGGGTCTGAGTACGCTGTTTTCAGATTGTCTTGAGCGAAGTGCGTGCTAGGTATTTTGTAGTCGCACATTTGTTGACTCATTTCGTGCGTGTACGCAGAAGGACCTTGAGCCAATCTTTACCCGTTTTACTGATTGGGCCTTACATAACTACTACTAGGGTTCGGGAATAAATTTTTGTCCTTATGATACCAGGTGTTGTCCCGTCTAGTCGCCCATACGTTTCTATTATTCACTCTGGATTCCGTTCTCAAGTTGTAAATGCCCATAGGCACATTAGAATCTCGGCTATTACGGCAGTCGTAGTTAAGTCTATCTTCTCACCCCTTAACTCTTTGTTATAAATTTGCTGAGATTTTGTAAATTCCGGTTTAATAATACTTTGATAAAGCTATTAGCATTAAATAGCGAAACATCAGTAAAAACAACATCGTTTTGTTTTCCATTCATTGGGAAATACAAAAACCTTTATTATCACGAAAACTAATATGGCATTAACCTTTTCACCAAACAGCTATGGTTAATCAAATGAAAAAGGAACCAACTCAGTCACCTGTTATTCTGGTCACTGAGGGCACATTTCTGCTTGCCTCACCAAGTGACGCACCTATTGCCACTTGTCACAGTGAATTGTAGAGCTCACTACTACTCC